CTCAATAAAAGGCAACCATAATATCAAAGTGAAAACAAAGGATACTAACAGGATAGTGAATAATCCAACACAAGGCATTACTGTGCTAATGGTTACTTCCATTAAATCTAATGATTACGAAAACAACCGAACTTCATCTTACAATCATCAATAACCACTCAGATTAGCACGTTAAAAGCTTTAAGGTGGCTGGGTGCGGTGGCTCACACTTATAATACCAGCACTTTGGGAGACCGAGGTGGGCAGATTGCCTGAGGTCAAGGGGTTTGTGACCAGCCTGGGCAACATGGTGAAACCCCGTCTCTACTAAAATACAAAAAATTAGCCAGGTGTGGTGGTGTGCACCTGTAGTCCCAGCTACTTGGGAGGCTGAATTGCTTGAACCCAGGAGGCAGAGGTTGCAGTAAGCTGAGATTACACCACTGTGCTCCAGCCTGGGCAACAGAGCGAGACTCTGTCTCAAAAAAAAGCTTTAATGTACAGAGTTGTGACAAAATGTAATATTAAAAGCAGTGACTTTTCATTTAGGTTGTTGAGAGAAAAGGACTAAGTAGTGGATGAATAACCATCAACTGAAACCGAGAAATGTCACGGTTACTAATGTATTATAATTACTTGCTGTAGATTTCTCTTCTACCAAAAGTACAACCCTATCTTGCTACTTCATTATTACCTTTTGCCTTTATCTTTGAAAGTATTTCAAGTGAAGTGATGAAAAGAGGTTCATTGTTTTAAGAGGTGATTTGTGATGGTCTGAGATGCCAGCCCACATTTCATTTACTGCTGTATGTCAGCTCTTCAGGTTTTCCATTAAGAATACAAGAGGAGTTAGTGAAACTTTGCTTTATTGGCTCAGGGTAGTCAGCCATTTAACCAAATAGTTAATTAAACATTCATTGTATACTGTTTCAGAAGAATACATTATTTTTGTGAGATCAAGGGTCTATCTTTTTGTATTGAAAATTACCTAATTTATTTGAAATGTTCTTTCTGGTTTACATCAACACTATTAAAACTTGACGGCTAGAGGATCCATTTTTCCCTTACTCGGCTAACAAACATTTACCAAGTATCTGCCGTGTGCTAACACATGTGTTAAACTGGGAATACAAACTGAATAAGATACAGTTTGCCTCCACAGAGCTGAGTGTCCTAGAGAGGTGTGCCTAGGCGTTGCAATCGTAATGCAATCAGAAGTGGCATGTTGGTACAGGCTGCTATGTTAGCACAGGAAAGAGGTGCATAACTTCTCTGTTCGAGTCAGGAAAGGCTTTTCTCAATTGGCTGAACTGAATTCTGAGGGATGACAGAGTGCTCAGTAGCATGAAGCAGGAGAAGGAAAGGAGTGCTAGGATTGCATGGATAAGAGCAAGTGACCGTGACACTGCCAAGTGGTGGCACAGTGCAGCAGTTAAGAGCACACACTCTTAAGACTGGGTCCAGAGGCTCACGCCTGCAATTCTGGTACTTTGGGAAGCTGAGGAGAGAGGATTGCTTGAGTTCAGGAGTTTGAGACCAGCCTGAAAACCATAGCAAGACCCCATCTATATAAGGAAAAAAAATTTTTTTAATTAGGCAGGCGTGGTGGTGCATGCCTGTGGTCCAACTACTCAGTAGGCTGAGGCATGAAGATTGCTTGAGACCAGGAGTTTCAGGCTGCAGTGAGCCAAGATCGTGCCACTGCACTCCAGCCTGGGTGACAGAGCAAGACACTGTCTCAAAACACACACACACACACACACACACACACACACACACACACACACACAGAGGAACCTGACAGCCCGTATTCCTCCTTGGGCAATTGTTTAATTTCCCCGTGCCTCAGCTTCCCAATCTGTAGAAAGGGCAGAATGTGAACAATTGCTTTAAAGGACTATTATGAGAATGATACTTTTTGTAGAGTGCATAGTAAGAGTAATTTAAATGTTTGCTATTAGTAAAGTTGGAGTGCCAGGTTCTTGATGGCACTGGTAGAAGGGAAGAAGGTTAAGGTTGGAGAGTAGGAATGGGCCCAGACATAAGAGATTCGCAGTTAATTCTGAAAGAGAAGCCAGGGCTGGATTTTTGGCATGTGAATGATGACCTACAGTTAGCTTACGGTTGTATTTACTTATTTATTTATTTATTTTTGAGACGGAGTTTCGCTCTTGTTACCCACGCTGGAGTGCAATGGCACGATCTTGGCTCACTGCAACCTCTGCCTCCGGGGTTCAAGCAATTCTCCTGCCTCAGCCCCCCGAGTAGCTGGGACTACAGGCGTGTGCCACCATGTTCAGCTAATTTTTGTATTTTTAGTAGAGATGGGCTTTCACCATGTTGACCAAGATGGTCTCGATCTCTTGACCTCGTGATCCACCCGCCTCGGCCTCCCAAAGTGCTGGGATTATAGGTATGAGCCACCGTGCCCAGCCTAGCTTAAGGTTTTATGAGAGAACAAACAGTCCTGGGCAAACTGAGCAGGACGCAATATAAAGCAGGGCGGTGAATTAGAGGTTCTAGAAACTTACTGGATGACGGGATGGTGAGAAAAGGATGGCTCAGGCACTGGATGGGAAAGACACTACACTTTATGATCAAACTGAGCTGCAAAAGAGCATGCTTACCTTTTTCGTCTTTTAGTATTTATAGGCACATAATACATGTTCAATTTACTTTTTTCCCTCATGAGACTATTCCTTCTCCCCACTTTTTTTTTCACAAAGTGAGATGACTTGATTTTGAAAACTGCAAATGCTTAAAAATTATTGAACTTAATTGCAGTCTCGCCACTTGGCCTCAAGACTTTCAAACTTTATCTGAAACCTTGAACTTCAATGACAATATGCAAAATTTGGAAGATATATTTTGGCCTTTTTGCTTTGGTTTTCTTTTCTGAAAATATGGCAACATTCTGGCTGGCCTTGTTTTCCCCTGGTGTTATGTGATTCTCTGACATCAGCACAGATATATTCAGCCTGACATATGATACTGGCTGGCATGAGAAAGAAGGGGAAGATGGCTGAGTTTACAAGCAGGGCATGACAGCTAAGCTCGAGACTAAGTGGCATCTGCAACAGGTGTTCCTTGGGACCGGAGTTAGAAAGGGCTTCTTCCTCTATTTTTAAAATATGGGTAACACTTTCACAGCTATACAGAAACTGTGAAAACTACATGCTCGTAGCTATAAATTACAATCAAGATATAATATTTATTATCAGCAGGGTAGAGCAATTCAGTGTCTTTCTTTTTGTTTTCCTCTGTTTCTAAATTAGAAGATTCTCATGCCTATGGCAGTGGTCCCGAGGTAAGAGGATCAATCTGCTAAAGTGCATAAGACTTTGTTAGTTCAATGATACTATATCTTGTATGTGGCAAACTTTTATGCCTACAGGATTGAGAGTCTTCTCTATCCCTAGGGGATCATTAAACTGAGCCAACTGTCTGGGAATTGACAATGACAGCATAATTGAACAACCAAACACTTTTTATTTTCAATAGAGGACTCTAAAGCATTCTAGCTATTAAGCAGTAACAAGCCACTTCCATCAAAGCTGAGTAGGCCATGTTTTCCTCCACAATTTTTGTTTTACTACTTTTAATGACTTTCAGAACCACTACTAGCTGTTTCCATAATAGCAAGCAAACTGGTACAGTGAAATATTGGGTAAAACATTGTAACATCTAAACCATTTTTCTTATATCTTGGTCTTTGTGACCCTCCAATTCTCAGTCTTCACCATTCTTTCTAACCATAGTGTTTGGCAGATACTTGAATACAAGAAATACTGGTCTGGATTTGATCTGGTTCTCTAAATTTTGAGGCTACAGACCACAAAGTATTTTTTGAGGGAAAAAAATTTCATTTCCGTGTCCAGCAAAATACCACGTGAGTTTACTCACTAATTTGCCTCGACCTAATTTTTAAAAGACACATAAAATAGGAAGCTAGTGCTATTCATCTTGTTTGCTAATCACTCTGCAGGTCTAATACTTTTTCTTCATTACTCATTGAATTAGTGAAGAGCCAGTAGCAGAAGAGAGAAACTCTACCCGCAAATAGATATATTTATAAAAATGTATTTGTATACCAATTTTCTTTATCTTCTTTCTTATAATTAGCAGGTTATTATACTTGACCCTGGTAAAATATTTTAATTAGGATATCCATGGCTATTTCAATAAACTTGAATTTTTTTTGACATTTCAAACATAACCTGTGTCATTCATGCCTGCCTCCTACTATTTTAAATGTATAGCATGTTCCAGCTGCAGAAATTACCATGGTTACTTGTTATGCCCATAGTGAACTGCAGTTGGCATTTAAAAGCATTGTGCTATCTTGCCTCTGCATTGAAAATGACATCAATATCTCAATAATCTCAATATTATGAATTAACACGGAAACCTGGAGAAATGTGACTGAGACAATTATTTGTCATAGTGTAAGAAGTTCTTAGCTACAGGTCTTTAGGGTCTTTCATGGGTTCTTTAGGGTCTTTTTGGTATGCATTATATCCATGTTCTCTAAGAGCTCATTTTAATGCCAATGTGATTTTATTTTATTAATAGTATTGTTGAATCATTATAATCTTAATCCATCCTTTTCTTTAAGTACTCTCCTTTAGAAATGCACAGAACTTCAGTACTTCTTTGGATGGAAAATGATTCACATTTAATGTGAAATGATTAACAGAGAACACAAAAAGTATGGCTTGCTAAAGGTACTCTTGTGTCCAAGGATGGTATCCAAGATTAAGTTGATTTGATCAGAGTCTTTAATTCTCTGCTGACCAGCTGAAGTTTCATTAAGGAAGGTTCTAGTTAATAAATAGTTTTCTTCCAAGTTACTATTTAACCACTCCTTCTTCAGAAAAGTGCTTTAAAAATTCTTGGGGTCATTTTTTCATGCCTCTCACAGATCTCTCAACTTTATTTGCTCAAAAGACTTTGTCCTGCAAATCACCTAGTAGAAGAACTCAGAACAATGATACATACTGCAGTGCGGAGTCTGTGCTTACCTGCACTGGTGCCTGCACCAGATGTGAGGTCTCCACCCATCAGACCACCTACGGATTAAAGAGGAAGATCAAAAGGAGAAAGGCTAAAGGCTCACAGAACAAAACACTTTACCTTTAGCAACCTCAGTATTTTGTCCTCTTGCAACAGTCATAAACTTGTAAAGTACGACCCAAGTCAGATGGCTGACATTTGTTTTATTGTGCCATGCTGTGCTCAAACGTTAAAAATACATTCAATCACTGACATTTTGCAGAATCTTTTTTCTAAGAAAGTTACATTTAAAAAAATCCAGTCTTTGAATGGTCTCTGCATTTTTATTAAGTCTAGGTTTTCCCTAAGCAGATGTTTTATAGAAAGCAAAAGAAAGAGTAGGTCTATTTTGTGCTCAGATGACCTCACATTTGATGTTTAGTTCTTTGTAAATAAGTTTTATACCATATATTTTGTGCAACATTAATCGTCCAGAAATTTGATAGTTTCATGAATCTACCCACATTTCCTATTCAAATCTTATTGACTGACACAATAAAACAAATTTCTCACTGGCCACAAATTAAGAAACATATGCTTATTCACGGCTAACTTAAGAAAGTATGTTAAAATTTGGCAATGTTTATTTATGAGAGTCAAGAGATTTCAATAAGATATTGAATATATAAATTAATTTTAGTTTTGGAAAAAGCAAGATTCAGCCAAAAGAATAATAGTGAGACTATTATCTAGATTTTCCAATTTTTCTAAGTGGTACTCTATAATTATTAGTTGGTTCAGGTTTTGGAATTAAAAGAAAATGTTCATTAAACTTTGTTTTTTTCTTGAGACACAGCTTGCTCTGTTGCCCAGGCAGGAGTGTAGTGGCAGATTGGGTTACAGCTCACTGCAGCCTCAACTTCCCAAGCTCAAGTGGTCCTCCCACTCCAGCCTCCTGAGTAGCCGAAAGCACAGACACAAGCCACTATACCCAGTTATTTTTAAAAAAATATTTTGTAGAGACGGGGTCTCTCTGTGTTGCGCAGGCTGGTCTTGAAATCCTGGTCTGAAGCAGTCCTCCCACCTCAGCCTCCTAAAGTGTTGAGGTTACACTGTGCAACCCACTGCATCTGGCCTTCATTACAGTTTAAGCAAGTGTTTATTATTTCCAATCAGATAATATTTTGGAAATAAAGTATCAGATTTTTTAAAAAAATGAGCATGAGTTTATCAGATAGGAAAGTGAACTGCATTCAAGTATGATATGAAAGGAATACATGTGGTTATTGAAAATTCATATAAAAATTTCAAATATATTCAAAAGTCAAGAGAATGGCACAATGAAGTCCTTTGTATACATTTCCCAGACTCGAGATTTATTAAGATTTTTTATTTGGCTGAATTTAATTGTATTTTCTATATAAAGCTTCTGTAATAAAAAAAGTAATACATGTTTGGTTCTAATTGTAAGGCAGATATATAAATATTCTTCAGGAAAATTCCTCCATGAATAAACTACTTTTCATACAGCTATGTGTATGTAAGATATATTAAAAATTTCCTATGGAGTACTTTTTAAAGTATGAAATGCAAATATATAATGGTTTACTGTATGTGACTTAGAAATACAATTTTTTTGATACTGCTTCTGGAAATATAAAGGAATGGCTTTGTTATATTCAATACGCATTGGCTTGGTTCCTACTGTGAGTCTAGCAAATCAAGAGAACATTCTTCCCTTCAATGTTCTTTAAATCCAGTGGCGAAATAGACACATATTCAATACAATTCATCATAATGTGTTTTGATTGATCTAAGTACTAAGAATGGATGAACATTTTCTGAGCAATAATTTATTTTCTCTTGGACACTGTGAATTGAACAACAGCAAGTAAAAGTGCAGAGACAAATTTGTGGCAGGTGTACATGTAATTAATTAACTTGATTTCTGACTCAGCTTTGTTTGTATTTCACATGTCTTACAAATGATGCTATCTCATCATATTTCCTTTCTGCCTTAAGTCCTTCGTGGGATAAGTTACTGTAAAATAAATAAAAATTGACCCAAATAATAAATAACTAAATGGGACAAATGCTATCAGAGAACACAGGGGAAGATTTCAAGAAGTGATAGCTTGCCAGGAGCAAGAGGGAAAATGGCATTTTAGGCAGGAAACAAGCGTAAGTAAAAGTGTGGAGAGAGGATATCTGACGTCCTGTTTGAGAGTATGTGGTTAAAATACAACCACAGGAGCAGATAAAAGACAGAATGAAAAAGATAAATGATAGATTATGAAAGATTTTGAAAGACATGCTGAAGAGTTTAGGCTCTGTCATGCAGGAGACCTAGCTCTGGGGTGGATGGTAAGCCGTGAAGGACAGTAAGCAGAAGACCAGAAAACATTCTCGTAGATAAAGCAGTGTTGGCTTTTGCCGAAAGTGGTTCTTTCCAATGATTTAACACTACATCCTTCTGAGGACATACCTGTGTTACCTGCACTTGGAGGTCGATGTGTTACACCAGGAGACATACTATTCCTCTGCAGAGAAGGGTGAGCCAGTGGCAAAAGGTTAGGGTTTCCCAGTGAGCTGACAGGGTTGCTGTACACCAAACTGTTGTGGCTGGACACTGGGATGGAGACTGGCATCTCGAAGTTGGGAGGTGGAACAGCCTGCAGGAACAGACAAAAAAAATAGGTAAAAGAAAAGAATTAATAACAGAAGCTCTTCAAGACAGCCCTTATTTTTCCAAGAAAAATTCTACATTCCACACTGCGTGGTGTCTAGAAGACCCTTAAGAAGAGCTCTCAAGACGTTCAGATCATAAATTGATTTCCTAAGTGTGCTTAAAACTCTTTCTTTGCAACCATTAAAAAACGTTTCACTTTTGTTTAAAACAAAGACCCATTTCTGTAGACTCCATTGTCTTTGGATTCCATTCTATTGAGTAGTAGTTGTTCATTTGTGATATCCGAATCTAGTGCCAGAAATGACTGCAAGATCAAAGGTGCATGATTGTGATGACTACACAGAGAAAAAGGATTAAAATGCAAACCGAAGCCTTTGATTTAATTGCTTATTGAAGCATATTTATGTAGAAGTTTAATGATAGAAAATCATCTCGAAGCATGTGAATAGCACATATACCTCAATTATTATTTTTTAAAGTCTGTCTTTTAAAAGTAACTCTAAAGATGATAGGCATTTTAAGATACAGGGTTCAACAGAGCATGTATCATTCAATAATTCACATTTTAAAGTGATAGTTCAGAAAACATTATGTTTCATATTTCAGTATGTATCTCCACTGACAAATGGCAAGACCTGTATCTCAGTTGTGGAAGTTGGCAACTATTTAGTGAACTGAAGCTGTGTGGATGTCTAATTAGATTAATCCAGATTTCAATTATTTATTTTTGGGTAATTATTTTGTCAATTTAAGCATAATCATGTTTATCTTTCTGCTGTACTAACTAGATGGACATAGGAACATAGTTGTAACTACAGCCTTTTTATTTTAAGCATTACAAGTAAAAATACTCTTTGAATATAAATGCCAGAGAACTCATATGGTCTCAGAGCATATGGCATTCTTAATATAAAATGGACATACATATATGTGTGTGTGTGTGTGTGTGTGTGTACACACACACACACACACACATATATATACACATACACACACACACACACATATATATATATATAGAGAGAGAGAGAGAGAGAGAGAATAGGATTTATAGAAGGCATTAAGGCATTCCCTCGGTGGTTCTCAATAAGTCATTGTGCAAATTTAAATGTGTATGTGCATGAGGCTCAGTTGTTTGTTTGTTGTTGTTGTTGTGGTTGTGGTTGTTTCATTTTGGTTTTACTACTGCTTTCCCTTAGTGTTAACATCCACTTTCTTTTACTGTTTGGTTGGCTGGCCTGCATCATACATCTTGCTATGTAATACTTCTCTGTTTATCTTGGTGATGATCACAATACTTTTCTCTGTTTATGTTTATGCTCCCTTATTCTTTATTTCCCATTTTTCTTTTCTTCCATGTTCTGGACATGCCAATACTGACAACAGTAAATGCTTTACATTTAAAACTCTTTTCTTTCACATGTCTTTGATTTTCATTGTTTTATTTTATTTTATTTTATATTTATTTTATTATTGTTGTTGTTGTTGTTGTTTTTAGACAGAGTCTCGCTCTGCCACCTAGGCTGGAGCACAGTGGCGCCATCTCCGCTCACTGCAACCTCTGCCTCCTGGGTTCTAGCAATTCTCCTGCCTCAGCCTCCCCAGTAGCTGGGATTATAGGCACGCGCCACCACGCCCGGCTAATTTTTTCTATTTTTAGTAGAGATGGGGTTTTGCCATGTTGGCAAGGCTGGTCTTGAACTCCTGAGCTCAGGTGATCTGCCTGCCTTGGCCTCCCAAAGTGCTGGGATTACAAGCATGAGCCACCACACCTGGCCCAATTTTGCATTGTTTTAGAGGAAATAAAAATGTTCAGGTAATGTAAGTAATATGGTCATTCTTTATTAGGCTTTATCTACTGTAAACAGGGGAAATAATTTTTGGATAGACATCATGACATAACGGAATATAAATGTTTGATAAGACATCAAATAATGAATATAGTCTTGCATTTCCAGCCCCCTTTTAACAAAAAAAAAATTAGTGTATGCTGTGAATTCAAACTCTACAGCAAGAATAAAATACTGCATTTCTTCATTAAAAGGCCAAAAAAGATTGCTCTAGCATACCCAAGAAAACAAAGTAAAGTGATTGTTCTAAGTATATTCTCCACTTGCTCCATCCAGACCCACTCTCTGTCCCCTTCACTCTGTTGTGTGCCCAGGAGCTGACCCTCCAGGCTGCATCAGCCAGGCTCTCCTTGCCCTTTGGCTTCCTACTGCCAGTGGAGGAGGAACCAGGAACAGCACAGAGAGCAGGAGGGGAGCAAGGTCAGGGTATTTTTTTCTAGCGGCATTGTCCTTGCTGGGCCACAGGCTGGCTGAGGCTGCATTCCTTTAGCAAAGGCCCCGTCTCTTTTTGATTTGCTCTCTTCTACACACATAGATCTTGCTGTGCTCTGGTAATTTTCCCCTCCAGTTATTCCTTTAGGCCTAGAGATGGGAACAGCTTCTAGGTTGCAAGCTCTAACGTACTTCATTATTCTCTCAGGTTTCCCTTAACTCTACCCATCTGTAAACAGTCCTTTTAACAAACTCTCTTCAATTACCTGTTAGAGTTTGTCATCTGTTTCCTGTGGCAACCTTGGAACAGGTTGTACTCTCTAGATCTAGAACAGTGGTACTCTACAGGGGTGGGACTGTGTTTTCAGGGAGCAGTTTGGAAATCTGTTGGACTATCTTTGGGTACCACAGTGAATGGAGGGTGTGGCTACCACCGTGGCTCAAGCAGTGCCATGTCTTGCCTACATCACTGCAATCACCATCCTAACAGATTTACCTGCTCCTGTCCTTGCCTTCCTTTGTACTTCCAACCCAGAAATCAGGCTGACCCTTTAAAATCTTCAGGCATGCCAACACTCCTCTGCTCAAAACCCTGTGAGAGCTCTCATCTTAGAGTCAAAACTCAAGATGAGAGGTTTTTTTTCTTCCAATGGTCCACAGGGCCTATAAAGTTCCAGCTTTTGCCAATCTCCTCATCTCATCTCCTAACAGCTTCTGCCACCCTGCCTCATTTCCATGGTGAACTGCATCACCTCCTTCAGGTCTCTGCTCAAAATCTGGCCTTCTCTTGGAAGCCCACCCTGACAATCCTATTTAATCCTGCAATGTGTCCTGCCCCCTGCCCGTATCCTGATCTCTTTCTCCTGATCTTTTCCCCATTGGTTTTAAAATTATTTATGATGTTGGTTAACTAATGCCTGTTTGCTATGAGGCCGTGCAGAACCTACTCTACTTCTTATTATATGAACTTAATATTTTTCTTCAAAGGAGAATTTTTAGGAAGACAAGTACTAACACAAAAGTGAAGCTATTTACTGTATCATATTTGTTGAGCAGTATACTGTGCTGTAAAATTGACATACATGTTATGATTTAACCCTTTAAACATCCCTTGACTATAGATATAATTATTCCCTTTCAAATTGGTGAGATTAATTAAGTGGCCCAAGACCATCTAACTAGTGACTGAGTCTGTTGCTTTTGCTACCAAATCACTATACAATGCACTATAAGTTTTTGGATAGAAATAAAATAATGTAGTCAGAAATCGTGCAGTGAGTAAGGGCTAGATATTAGAAGCTCACTATCTGTGGACCATATAAATAATAAACTAAATCTGTTCTGATGAAATGTGGGTAAGCACCTACACTGGAGAATCTAAGGCTTTAGGAAAAAAATAAATCTTAAAGACTGCCTTCCTCCATATTTACTTAGAGTTGGTATTTTAAAGCCACCTTTGGACTACAAATGTTTTAATTTGAATTCACTGTTATTACTTATAAATGTTTATTTAACTGTTACTATGTATCTAAGGATCTGCTATAAAATGCCATCTTCCATGACTATGCTATAGAATGTTAGTTGTGTCTCATTAGAGAGCAAAGCCTATATCCCCCTCACCCCTGGGTGATTACATGCACTTCCAAAATAAAGAGGATTATTAATAATCATGTAATGAGTTCTCAACTATCCTAACAACAACCAGTTCAGTGAAAGTCATTCTACTCCTTCCTTCCTCTGACAATTATCCCCAAGAATTAATTCTTCAGTTTCTAGAATTCTGGATCATAAACAGTGATGATAATGATTATTATAAAACTCATTTGTGATTGGCTATGCAGTCAGATATAATTAAGATATCAGAGTATACTTCAAAAATCCAAAATTCATAAAATATGCCAACATCATTTATATTCTGTTGATCTTTTGCTTTGTTTCCTTATTTATATCCAAAACTGCCTATACTAATTTTTTAAAATTTCATTTTATTTTAGATTCAAGGGTACATGTGCATGTTTGTTACATGGGTATATTGCATACTGCTGGGGACTGGATTCCCCAAATACTGAACATTGTGCCCAAGAGGTAATTTTTCAAACTTCACCCCGCCTCACTACCTTCTCCCCTTTTGGAGTCCCCAGTATCTATTGTTTCCATCTTTATGTCTGTGTGTACCCATTGTTCAGCTCCTACTTCTAAGTGAGAACATGTGGTATTTGATTTTCTGTTTCTGAGTTAAAGGAACTATCTATAATAATTTTGAAAGCAAATTATAAGCTTCAAAACGAGTACGCCACGATGATATTTTAGAGAATCAGAACGAACACTGGCCCTTTTATCAGAAATCTCAGTTACAGTCCAGGTTATGTAATAAATTGCCATTTAACCAGGCAGGTCATTTAATCTTCGTTGACCTCGATTTCCTTATCTGAGGCATGAAATGGTGTATCCATGAAGAGATGAAGCTGCTCTAAACATTTTAGGGAATGCAAATGCTATAATCACATATAAACATTTCTAAGAAATTGGCATTATTTTTTTTCTCCTTGACTTTTCAAAATTAGACAACTTGAAAGAATTTACGTTTAAACATTATTTTTGTCTAAAAAATGAAAGCCAAAAAGTAGTTAAAAACACTAAACTTGCAAAGATTTCAGGGCCACGCTCCAGCTTTTAAAAACACACAAGATAGGAAGAAAGAGAATTTGGGGTGATTAAATAAAATGCTGTCAGCAGAACTGGCTATGTAATTTTCAGGGCCCAGTGCACAGTGAAAATGTGGGGGTCCTTCTTTAAGAAGTATTAAGAACTTCGAGACAATGCCAGCAGAGTATTTAACCAAGTGCAGCCCTATGAGAACAGGGCCAGGTTGAGGGCCGATGAAGCCGGTCCCAGCATTGAAAGACACAGACGTGACAGCTAAAATCTTTTAGTTTCTATCCCTGAACAAAGTGATCATGGTTACTGTAGTGAGTCATGATCGGAAAAGTATCTGAACTCTTATCCAAATCCCACTATTTTCCCAAACTTGCCACAAGGAAAAAATCCAATTAAAAAAATCAAATAAAGCAGTTTAAGTAAAATACTTTTAGTTAATGGGCTTTCTTTTATTTAATGTGAATGATTGCACTGAATCTTCCCCCTCACTCTTCTTTTTCCACTAATGACACCTTTAAATTTTGACCAACCACTACCAGCTGCTGGGCCCTAGTAGAGGAAAAAAAAAATCGCACAACTCTGATGATTCATAAGTACCAGTTGCTGGTTATCTAAAATGTCCTCAAGGCTGCCTGACAGTTCTATCATGGACTTGTTCATTCCCTCTCCATCCCCTATTCCTCATCATGTCTAACTTCTCAGTCATCTTTCAAGAACCTGCTGTCCCCTTCCCCAATAACTACAGGAGCTAAACTAAATTTATATATAGAAGGCGGGCGTGATGGCTCATGCCTGTAATCCCAGCACTTTGGGAGGCCAAGGCAGGCAGATCACTTGAGGTCAGGAGTTTGAGACCAGCCTGGCCAACATGGTGAAACTCTGTCTTTACTAAAAATACAAAAATTAGCCAGGCCTGGTAACAAGCACCTGTAGTCCCAGCTACTTGGGAGGCTAAGGCAGGATAATTGCTTGAACCTGGGAGGCGGAGGTTGAGGGGAGCCAGGATCGGATCAGACAACTGCATTCCATCCTGAGGCACAGGGAGAGACCCTCATCTCAAAAAATAAAAGTAAAATAGAGGTCATTATACGGTCACCCACTCAGCGTCATTCTAACCACCTACCACCTTAGCTACACCTGGCTCCATCTGTAACACCGTCTTGTTTAGGTCCCATCCTCCTCCCCTTTCTCCAGAAGGCTTGTCATTTTATCTCCGTTGTACCTCTATGTTCAATCTTTTCCTTCCTCCAAGCACTTCTCTGCATGTAAATAATCTCAAGTGCTTTCATTTTAATTCCTCTTTTGATCCTACATACAGCATTATTTCTCTTTCTTCACAGCCCACTATTTTGAAGAATATATATACTGTTTCTTTCCACTTCCTCCCTTTCCTTTTACTCTCAACCAATTTGCACCCGCCTCTCATTCATTCAGCCCCTTTCCTGGCTTCTGCTGGTTCCTCAGACGGAGGTGTTTTTTTTCTTACTGTGAAGCCCAGCATGAACCATGGCAAACCCAGCATGAGGAAATGCTGGTCGACACAGTTCCAAATCACCCATGAATTATTTCATGTAATTGAAGAATATGGGCATAAATTATATATACCAACAGGTGACTGCAATATTAAATTTTCTATTTTAAAAGGAAAACTCTTCAAACTGGGTCTTCGAAATAGAAAAACAGCCTCGTAGTGTTTTTAAAGAGGTGGAGACACTCTCTACATACAAAGGGCAAAGTGTCCTTGCCCTGCTGTAAATGTTTTAGCAGCTGTGGAAACTTTCAACGAAACTGACTTCCAGCAACTGAGAGTGATGTACAAAAACTGGGCTTTTCATCGTGGAGACTGAAGCACTTACTAAAGAGATGGAGATTCTGCGGCACAGCTTGGAGTTGGGTGGCTCCTTCTCACAGCTCTGCTCTATGTGGTTTTTCGCCCCCTGCCACACACCACTGCACCCCTTAAGGAATCACGTATCTTGATTATGAACTTTTTACATAACAGGCTGAAATCCTGTGAGGGAATCTAGGTGTGTATCGCATGTCTCTCTCCCTAAAGCATGAGAAAAATGATCCAATGTGCATTTCCCCAGAACTTTAGGGGTTAAAACTCCACCTATGTTTATGATTGCCTCCCCTCAATGATCAGCAGTACTGTCTGTCTTTATTCCAACTAAGCAGGCGATTCTTACTATCTGACATGCCGAAGGTGTTCTGCATTAACATCCTACATTCACAAACCTTAGTGCACAGCTGCTCACACCAGTGTATTATATAGCAAGAGAAACTCAGACCATAAGAATTAAAAATTGGCCCAAAGGAGCTGCTTTCTTTCCTTCTTCTGGGCGAAATAAAATCCCAATGGATATTTTATCATTTAAGAATCCTGGACATAACAAGTATGCATGGCTGCATATGATACTAAATACTTCATTTCATAAAGTACCCACTGTGAATGTGGGCATATACTACTCAGTTTTATGAAACCCTTAAGAATTTACAGCACTTAGCTTTCCTTCATGATGCGGTGTATTAGTAATTCTGATTCAACAAAAGTTCTACTGCTGATATTATTTCATTTAGCGAAGAAGCAGATAGGTATCTATGAGGACAGAAATTTTAATATGCACACATTTTGAAAATAAGTTTTAAAATGTTCAATTAAATTTAATACAGGTTTGAGTGTGCAGCTACCATGGTAAGTATTAATTTATCTTGTGAGTGCAGTTGTGAATTTGGCCTCGCGCTTTGTCCCCAAATATCTGCACTTGCAATCACCAAAACATATTCTCACCTCAGTCCCTAATTCCTCAGGTTTAGGCTGTTTTGCTAACTTACAAAAAATGAATTTTTTTACAAAAGGAATTGATTACCTAACAAGGAGCTTGTATACAATTAGGATTCAGACACTAACATTAGTTATTCGGAAGGCATGTGAACCTCAGGTTTCATCCCTTTATGCCACAACATTAACATTATTTGATTGATGACAGAATCTAATTAAAAGTATATACTTTCCTCCTATATATGTGGACAACAAAATAATACATGCAGTTATTTCTCTTAAATGTCTGGCAAGGCATATGACTGACTGTTAGAATGTTCTTCATTTGGTTAAAACAAAAATTAGCCAAATGTTAAAGCATGGAAAATGTTGGTGGCAAAGCAGATAATATTCTGATAAAGCTTTAAAATCACCCCAGCACACAAACATGTTGAAATCTTACCATTAGGTTTCATGCAGTCTGTTCCCTGCAGCGAGCAATAGCTTTAACCCTTCAGTGCTGTTGTTGAATTTCATGTACAGGGAGCTGAAATTTTATTCAGAAATCAGCTTGTATGTAGGTGATGATTGTCAGTTTACATGAAAGAACTGCCGATCCACTTGTGTATCCTGCTCTCAGCAAACAATATATAATCTGTGTGTTTTATAGGAATCCTCAAACTTGTTTGGAAGGAGATTCCAGTGTTTTACTCATGTATAGTGATTTTCATGGACTGTGTGTTTAAAACATTGTGTAAATCCAGGGTGTGGCTCGTAAATCTTTCTCTTCCTCCTGTGAACTGTTCTACCTCAGAATGAGCTTGTTGATGGCAACTCTGTTAGATTACATAATTTCAGCATCCTTTAGGGTTTGCTTTCTAAATGTGAGCTGCCCATGGGATAGATGGCTATTTTATCTGTTTGACTTTCCGAAGAGTCTTAGAGAAAGCCATCACTGAGAGGGTTAAGGTATGTTACTGCAGCAGTTATCAGCAGACCAGCCATCTACCTTTGGTACTTACAGGAATTTTATGACTCTTGATCATATTATCAAATTCTTCATTAATTTTTTTGTATTTTTCTTCAGTGCGTGGGGTGAGTGCATAAGAGGAGTCGGGATCGGGGCTTTCACAGCCTTTGTTTTCTTTCTTGTTCAATGCCTGCCAGGTTCAGAGAAATATCAAGAGTAAAAAAAATGAAGGGTGTTTCGAGTACTTACACACAATCTTTGCCTGCTGATCATTAGATCAATATCTTCGTTAATTTTCCTGTACTTGTCCTCAGACTCAGGGCTGTGACCTACTGAATCGTCCGCATCGGGGTCTGGGCTGTCACAGCCATTAAGGCCCTTCTTTCTCAACGTCTGAAATACATAATTTGCAAAGTTCAAACCTAGACAAAGGCTGTAAGAGACATTTAGGGGCATTAAAGAAGTTCAAGCTGTCCAGTGTTTCAGGTGATTACAAATGCTTTATTCTACTAAAGAAGAGAAGCCACAGTTAGAAACTGAGTCATTTCAATCGAGCGCTCATCAGCAGTTTAAAAAAAAAAAAAGGGAAAGATTCCTTTTGGAACTCAATTCAGTCAATGAACAGAGAGTATAAGGACTGAAGTTTCATAACACAGAATTCATATATGCTTCAAATAGCTAGTGAGAGGCAATTACAGCAGAAAACAATTAAGGTGGCAAATTGCAACACTCTTTTCCCACAGAAAAGTTAGAAATCAGGACGTTACACGATTTCCAAACCTGTGATGAAGACAAAAGCAGAAACGCTGGAAACAGGTCCAAGTGTGAATTTAAACTAATGGTTGGCATTAGTGGTGTCTGCCCCCACAACCCCCACTTCTGATGTACTTGACAGCTAAAGGGTATAAGAGAACCCAGTTAATATTCCCAACAAGCATCGGTGAGAAAGCTCAGACATTGTGCTTATGTAAAGAACTACTTTTGTTTGTTAGGGTTTTCAATATGTGAAAATCTTATCAAAATTTATAATACTGAGAAGTTCTCTTCCTACACATAGGTGGAAAGAAAAGGAAAAACAGCCGAGCTGAGTAAGGAAGATGAAGAACACTGAAAACAGATAATCAGGTCATTAACTACCAAACTAGGAAGGGTATCTCCTGGTTTTTCAGCTGAGTAGGAATCACCCTGAGACTGACACGTGAAAGTACAAAGTCAGTGCCTCATCTGGAACCTCCTGCCTCCTGGATGTGGGTCTGGGCTAGTCTCAGCTGTCACAGAATAATAAATACTAATGTAGCATTGCAACAGAAAAAGTATGAGTTAGGAGTCCCAAGTTTTACTTGGTTTTTTAAATTTGAGACAGAATCTCTCTTTGTCGCCCAGGCTGGAGTACAGTGGGGTGATCTCGGCTCACTACAACCTCCACCTCCTTGGTTCAAGCGATTCTCCTGCCTCAGCCTCCCGAGTGGCTGGGATTACAGAGGTACATCACCATGCCCAGCTAATTTTTGTACATTTAGTAGAGACAGGGCTTCTCCATGTTGGCCAGGTTGGTCTCTGACTCCTGGCCTCAGGGAGAGGCCTCAGCCTTCCAAAGTGCTGGGATTACTGGCTCAGCCACCACACCCTGGCCTGCCTTTTTTTTTTTTTTTTAAACTGATGGTTGTCAACTTAATTGTATACAATTCGATTTATAGAGATAATGTTATGTTTTTAGGGATCATAAAACTTCTGATTAATCATACAGCTTGCCATGTTAATTATTAATAGACTAGCAACATTTCTGAATTTTCCTGGTACCCCAAGATCTGTTATAAAGAGATGCATACCTAAGTGTCTCTCATTAATGGAAAGTTCAGCAGAGCTCATCTTTATTAAAGACAGAATTCACATACAAGTAAAGCAAAAGCTGCGACATCAAGCTAAGGAATTCAAAGCTGAGATAACACCCCATCTTTAATTCATGCAATTGGGGAAAATAAATAAAACAACATGAGTTAAAAAGGGGGTGTCAGTCTTAAAAATCTAAACTCCTTGGCTCTTATCAATGTGTAACAAATGTAACATTATTTAAAATTAGTTTTTGAGGCACTGAATGTTTTCACTTAAAAAATCAAGAAAGCTATCATTTCTAATATATCTAGGATACACAGTGGCTCTGTAAATATTTATTAATGTTATAGTGGTATAATATAACAAATAAACATATGGTTACAGTTTATTATGTGGTAAAATGTTTGAATATTAAAATGAATATTTTGACACAGTATGATAAAATATACATTTACAATCTTGAGGCATTTATAATTGGTGGGGCCACCTGTCCCCTTATCATGGATCTTCAGGCATCATTTTTCACTCATCATAAGTATTCTTAGAAATTTTCTACAATAATACTATGAAGAACATCACCATACATTAGAATAAAAATTTTATTTACTAACTTAACTTTCCGTGCCTCATATGGTTTAGTTACTATCTCAACCACAAGAACATTCTTCTGGCTGATGACTGTTGTATTATGATGTTTGTTTCTGCTTTGATCTCTGCATATCTTTGAGCTTTTAAGAATACTTTCTGAGTGCTCTGCATTATATTCCACATATTTTTCATAAGAATTCACTTGTATAGAGAAAAATAGGTAAGATGAAGAAAATATTATTTGATGTTTTTCAAAAGTTATCTGCCTATATTTCTAAAAGGCATGCTAAAAGTATTCTTTCTTTCTTTCTTTTTTTTTTTCTTTTCCGTTTTTAGAGACAGAGTCTTACTCTGTTGCCCAGGCTAGAATGCAGTGTGGCATGATCATAGCTCACTGCAGCCTCCATGTCTTAGGCTCAAGCAATCCTTCCACCTCAGCTTCCTGGGCAGCTGGGACTACTGCTGTGCACCACCACACCTGGTTAAAAATTATTTTTGTAGAATCAGAGTCTTAATATGTTCTCCAGGCTGCTCTCGAACTCCTGGACTCAAGCAATGCTCCTGCCTCAGCTTCCCCAAATGCTGGGATTACAGGCATGAACTATGGCACCCTGCCAAGAATTTTCTTACATAAACCTTTAATTTAAAGTCTTTCATACAGTTAATTTATAGTCTTATTTAGGCAGTAGATTTTTCAGTGTGCATCCAAATCTTTTAACCAATAAATCTTACTGTAAAAATAATGGTTGTTTTGATATGCAGATTTCTGACAACATAACGCAAGGGTTAGAAGAGGCCTATCAACTGTCATTACAATCCATCTGGCACATACATGTGTGCTAAATATTCTCACAAAGCTTTCAGGGGGTAGACATTGTGTTTGGTTTATAAAAATTCAAACATCAATTACACTTTGTTGAAAGATCTCCACAAATATTAACCCATTATCTCTCACAAGTCTTCCATGAAGAGTTTCGGTAAACCTATGCCAGCTGTCAAACTCACATGGCCAAGCACCATGGCCCAAGGTCAGACGATGACTATTTGCCTCCTGTCTGGAGACAGTGTGGGGCCCACCCTTCCCCTGCCTGTTTTCCCACACTTGTGAAGTGATGGGTGCAGACTAGATCTCTCTCACTCATATAACTATAGTAGTAAATTGGACACTGAAATAAATGAACTAGAAATTTAAAAAAATTAGGCTGAGGGAAAATTTCACGTATGAAAATATAACTAAAATACTGATTTTCTTAGATGTCAAATTTTAGTCAAGAGTTGGAATGCATATTGGTCCATAAAACACATCAGTTTATGAATGAAAAAAAAAAAACAATTAGGTTAGCATCTCACTTTGTACCTGAAGAGTTATATAAACTATTAAACATGGCGGGTGGCATGAAGTCACAAAGGAAATGGCAGTGATGAGGAGAAGGAAAAACGTGGCTCATTTTCTCCCAATACATTCTTCTGTATCTGACTGCATTATCTTGCTATGAATATCGCCCAAATCTAAGTAATGATTCAAGTTAAATTGTGTTATTTAAAAAAGAGCATTTTGAGATATACAAACACAAAACTGAAGAGCAAATTAATATTGAGTTCCAAATTCCCATAATCACATAACCAGAAAGAACATCGAAAAAATTGTTCAAAAATATTATCCTCAGCTGAGTGCCTGTATAACACATTTCTGCCAAGAACAAATGATTATGGTGGAATTATAAAGCTCTGAAAATGGAAGTGATGGCACAAACTTGAATACCATAGTGTGAATGTGGAGCTATAAGAGCAGTTTTATCTTTATTATATTAAAAATCTACAGCTGTTTAATGATAACAAAAGAATTTCTGTTAGATTCAGCCAAGTCTGTCTTTATCACAGTAATGGATAGTTGATATGAACTAAAGGGCTGACTAAATGGATAAATAGGCATTATTCCTTCAGGCCCTTTTCTAGCAAAATCAGAATCTCTGCTCTTGGCTTTTGAAAGCTTCTCTGATCTTTTACAAGTGCCACTGGTCAGGTAACGTAGGTACTTCAGTTGTTATTATTTTATAGGGGCTAAAAGTCCTAGATGTATATACTGTCTCTCAGCTGACTGACTAAGGTTTGAAAAGATTTATTCACGTATATCAAGATAAGGCAAGAGACCTAAAACCACCAGCTTCTCTCGTTACGTATCTAAAGAAACTCTTTCCTTGGAGAACTCAAGTAAATCTTGAGTAAGCCTGTATTCTGAAGTCAGCTTTCCACGTCAGAGTGACACTGTTGAGGTAGATCTATCAACTACAGAGGCTTCTGGGAGATTTTCACAAGACAGCGATTGTCATACTGTGAGCTGAGAACAGCCGTTTCCTAGAGGAGTAATTAGATTGACAGAAGGTGACATATTCCAAGCAATAAATGGGAAAAAGAGTCCAGACAGGTAATCCAAAAACCACGTGGAATCTTTCCTCCCAGACATGTGGACATATGGACCCTGCATTATTACATTTGCTCACTGGAAAAACTTGAAATATGTACAAACTGATGATGATAGGTGACAGGTGCTTCAAAAATTCTAATGAAATAGAATTTCATTAGGGAAACAGATTCTATTTCGTTACTGAAAGGAATAGAAATGAAAAAAGAATGCCACATGGAGCTCTCATTTCTTGTTTTAGGCATTATGTTATCAACTAGAAAATCCTTTTTCTAGGCAGTGATTAAAACTTATTTTTCCCTTCTTAAATACTATTTTGTTATTTACAAAGGTTTTCTTCTTTCTATTCTTTTAAAAATGATCTCTTATCAGTAAAAACAAATAACTAAATTGTTTACCTTTTTTATTATATGAAGCTATATTTTTATATTAATGCTATTTAAGTAGAATTCAGCTTTTTTCAGAGAACCACCATCACAGACTAAAAGCTTTCAACCACTCAATTTCTTTACATGTCTGCAAAATCAGTCCTCAAGAATGTATATCACCA